TCCTTTTTCTTCTCGGGCAGGGAGGAGGCCATCTCAAGCCAAGATTAACAGGACCCAACATAAGCCATCACTTGGTAGCTTTGACGAGTAATTGTGAATTTTTGTTGCCTATAGGTGCTTATTTTCCAAAGGATGCTTTTAGGATCAAAATATAACCCTACCGAAAGTCTAGGCTCCACTGCAACGGGTCATACTCTTCAGCCTCCCAACAGAGCAGATGAGAGAGAGCTACCGAGGCTTGTCTTGGTTGCCAGGCTAACTGGATGGCTTGTCCATATTCACCCCATGGATTGCCCCATAGCGCTCTTTGATTTTTCCACTGCAATGGCAGGTAATCTCTTCTGTTATAATAGAGCATTTCCAAATGTGCAGGCTCTAAAAGCAAGGCTTTAGGGGAGAAACTCTACCAAGGGTAATAGTTTTGGGGAGGTTTTTCCCACAATAATGGTCATCCTACTGGCTTTATCCCACCCTTAAATATGAAGCCTGTTACCTCCAGAAGCTTCTGAGAATGATTTGAAAAGACAAGGAGTGGGTTCCAGGGGAAAAAAACAATGACCATTCAGAGGAGTCCCTAACAAAGCTCACAGAAAAGCTATTTTGTTACTATCTGAAGTCATCTTTTGTTTTCATGCCAGACATTTAAAAAATTTATATGGCAGCAGGAACTTGTTTCTCAATGGAAAAAATACATGCAGAGGCATTTCTGCGATAGTCTATCTGCGTTAGTATTTGGTGCTATCTACGTCCAGCCAAGTTATCTACTCTTGAATTCTGACTAATCATGTTTTGTGCTTTGGGTGTTTAAAATTACGTACATATATATATTTCTTTTTGCCAAAAAGAAAAGCCTTGCTCCTTGTCAAATGATTGCTAAAGTAGATCTTACATTTTTTGTTATTATATATGGATTTATACAGACCCCCAACACACTTAGTGATTCATGTTATTTCCCAGGGGGCAGCTTTAAGGCTATGAGATACAACTAAAAAGGCCCCAGCTATTTGGTTTTCCAACCAATTATTGTACCCAAGCTCCAGGGGAGAATCTGAAATTCCTGTCTTGTTTCCAGCAACAATCTGTCATTCCTGGCTGGCTCTCAGCCTCTCTCTTTCCATAGGTTATAGAATTATGTCATTTTGTTACTTAGTGGCCACATCTGTTTCTGAGAAAAACTGGTTACATTTATGTGGCATCTCAGGTATCATTAAGGAAAAGCCAGAGCAGGGGTGAGCAGACGTGAAAAGCATGGACGCAGCAGGGCGATTTGCCGCCTTTGGCCAGGATCACAAGTACTGCAGTCTCCCAGCAGGTGGGCCTTGCCAAGCCTAAGGCTCCCCATCCACTAGACAGAGGGGTGCTCAGAGCAGCCAGGCTCTCCTGCCAGTCAGACTGTGCTGTAGCACACATCGGCTGAGCACAAAGAGTTGAATTGGGCACTCCACTCCCCACTCTCTGGCCCAGCCCTGAACTGGATGAGCTGCATTTCATTGAGCCCATTTTAAAACCTCTTTTCTTGTTGTGACTTTAATTGCTACTCAAGTCCAGAGTTCTCTGTGCACTCCTGCTAGATAAGGAGGCCTCCCTCTTCAGAGTGCAAGCTCCCACCCAGCACCAGCAGCAGGCTGGGCACCCCTCCCTACACAGGACACCAGTGCAGGTCTGGGGGAAGCTGACTCCAGTCAACCTTGAAATCTCATGAAAACAAAATGACTTGCCTTTTTATTTGATAGTGTAATATCATTCATTTTATACATTTTTTAGGGTTTTTCTTGTAATATTGTACAGTTTTGCATGGCCTGGTGTGATCATTTTTTGGTTAGAATATAATGCTGACAAATCATGTGTGTACGGAGGGGGAAAGAGATACTGCTTTAGCCTGTCACTCATTATTTTTTGTTTGGTTTTTGCCCTCAATGTCTTAGGGAACTTTATAAAGAGATCCTCTGCTACCAAACAATGATGTGGATTCTTTTGCACAGAAATATTTAAGGTGGGATAGTAAAAAATGTCACAAAAGACTCCTCACCAATATTTTATGTTGATATCACTTAATATTAACCAGACTTTGATGTATTGCAATAAAACAGAGAACTGTTAGCATCGAGTATTTTGTCTTTTTAACAGCCACTGGAAAGTCTGAGGAATAGAGAAAGGTGCTGCCTCTCCGCATCTCACTTCTCTCGCTTTCTACTGGCTTCCCTCCTCATCCAGGCTGCTTCCTTATGCTGTAAAAGGACATGGGGTTAGTTTGCCCCGTGGTTTAATCTAGGATTGTCTTAATTTCTTCCTTAGCTCAGGTAAGAGTGATGTTAAATTCTCCTGAAGCTTTCAACTCCCCTCTCCTGGCCATAACTTCCCTGTTGCTGTTACTTCAGTCCACAAGACCAAGCTCTGCCTGCATGAGGTTTCCTGAGTGCTCCTGACAGTGTGAATGTGGGAGCAGTTTGACTTTGTGTCACTTAAACTGAACTGGTCCTGCTTTTCTGGAGTTAGAATGGTGCATCTAAGAACATACAGGTAAAGTCCAAGGGTGGCATTAAAGGAACTCCTTTAACTCCTAAACTGTTGGCAGCTAAATAGTTATTTGGAGAACATTCCCGGTTCCCATTGCCCGTGGAGTTGACATTTGTGGCTGTTACTGTTCTGTTGGCTTGCTGTGACATCAGCTGTGCAGTGCTTTAGAACAAGGCTTGGCAACCCTTTTCTGTCAAGGACCAGTTAAGAAATCCTTGTGGCTTTGTGGGCTATATATCTAGTTCCTTGCAGCTCCCAGGCTGTGGCATTTCAGTGCAGAAACGGTATTAGCCTACTACACATGTGAAGGAGCGTGGCTGCGCTCCAGCAAAACTTACAGAATCCAGTGGGCCACATTTGGCCCTTGGGCCATCATAGTTTGCCAGCCTTAGTTTGGTCCCCTTAGTGTAGACTGTAAGACCAGACTCTTGTTCAAATCCTGCTTCTGCCACTTAACCTCTGGGCCTTTTTTTCCCTCTATAAAAAGACCCACTTGGAGTGTCACGAGTTTATATAGAAAAGCACTCAGAATCTAACTTCTAGCCTGTGGCTCAGTGTTTTGTCCTTGAGTAACTACCAAAGCCTACAGTAACAAATACTATTTTTGTTGCACTGTGTCTGGCCCTTCACTAGATGTTAGCGATACAAAGACACGGGCCCTGGAAAATCAAGTCATCATTTGCCATGTTCTCATGCCCCACGTCCTCAATGTGAATGGGTGGGCACGGAGAGTAGTTCATCACGATACAGGAAAAGTCAAAATAACGTTTGTCCAGTTTCAGAGCCGGCTTTACTGGGGATTAGAGTCATTTGCAATCCAGTGATTCCCCACTGTCTTCACAGGGAGTCCTCTAGTTCTCGGCCGCTCTCAGACTTAGGGCACACAAACCACATTCCAGTTCCCCTTAGAAAATTCCTCTCCCAGCAGTTATGGTCCCTGGGAAAGCAAATGCTGTCTCTGTTCTTTTCCCCTCCCTCCCCCCGCTCCCCCATGCTGCTGCTTGACTTGTTTGGCTTGAGAGGAAGAGGCTGTGAGAGCCCTGGCTGGGGCTGGCCTGGGTTCTGCCCCTGCTATTTACTCTGCAGGGTAGTGGCTCCAGATCTGAGTGCTGCAGAGTTCGCTAAAGAGCAGCAAATACCCTTTCTGAGTAAGTACTATGAATTATTTTTTTTTTACTTTAGGTTCTGGGGTACATGCGGAGGTCACGCAGTGCTGTTACATAGGTGCACACGTAACCAGGTGGTTTGCTGCCTCTATTCCCCCTTTGACTATATCCGACCTTTCTCCCCATGTTATCCCTCCCCACCCACCACTGTCCCTCCCCTAGCCTCCCCACCACCCAACTGCTCCCAGTGTGTGATACTCCCCGCTTGAGTCCACGTGTTCTCATTTTCAACACCTGCCTGTGAGAACATGCGGCGTTCGGTTTTCTGTTCGATGTCAGTTTGCTGAGAATGATGGTTTCCAGATTTATAATTCATAGTACTTACTCAGAAAGTTTGTAACAATATTAAATCATTTAAAAACTGAAAAATATTTAGTGACCTAAACAAATATTTTTAAATCTTTTTAATTTTAATAGGTCATTTTAGTCCCTTTTGTTCAATGAAGTCATTTTCATTTTTTCAGAAAAATGAATTCATACAGTATATGATGTTATCTCATGTTTACCTCAGTTAAAATCTTCACTGCATAAAAAAATGAAAAAATACATGCACCTATTTAAAAAAAAAAAAAAAAAAAAAAAGCAGCAAATACCCTTAAGAGGGCTGCAAGAGTTCCAGCCAGGATCTGACAGTGGTGCTGGGTGCCGGTGCTAGCCAGGTGGCCTCACGGACACCCCCCCAGGCCTCTCCATCCTGTCCCAGAACCTACTGGGCCTGTTATTCGGCAGTCCCAAATTTCAAAAGCAAGTTTTCTTTAAGAACTTTGAAAGCTTATACCTCTAAGCCTCCTTTGGACCTCTGCAGTCTGCAAATGCCCTTTCAAGTGTTCACAGGTCTGTAGAAAGGGCCCCAGCTGAATGTCCAGCCTGTCCTGTTACCTAGGAATGAAGCTGGCCTCAGGAAAAGCCACTTTTCAGGAAGGGGTCCCCAACTTCAGCTGATGTCTAGAGGGGGTCTTGCTGCGATGCAGACTAGGCACCAGCCCTGCTGGCAAATGTCACTGTCCTCCCACAGTTGCCACCATCACTGGGTACAGCTGCTTCAGCAGTGTGGTACGGCCTGCCAGGGGGCTGGAGCAGTGACACTACAGCCGCCTCCTGTTCTCCACCCCTGCCACCTCCCCTCTTACAGTGAACGGGCTGAGCCTTCCAGGTTCAGGACCAAGGGCCTCACGCTGAACCAGGCCCAAACCTTGCAAATAGGGGGTGCCACTGAGCCTGCTCTGACCATGAGGTCAGAAAAGAAACACTACCACGAGCTAGAAAGTACAGCTCATCGTCATCCTCCAGAATACAGAAGGGGGTACCGCACCAAAGCACTTCTCACAAGCGTTTTTATTACACTAAAACAACTTGATTCAATAATTATAAGACTTGTACAAAAATTGACAGAGCCCGTGAGGAGGCTTCGGCTGGAACTGGTGACACCTGCATCTCTCCTCAGACAGAGGAAGGGGGCCCCACTCTGCCTTCCAGCAGCAGCCAGTGTGTCTGGCATTGCCTGTTCTGCAGCTCCTGTCCTCCCCCTGGGGCAGCAGTTCTTTAGAAACATTCAGCTGTCAAAGGTGAGCGCCAGCCCCACAGGCCTGAGCCTTGCAGGCTTAAGGAGGACTTGTTGGCACTGTTAGATCAGCATCTCTCCCAGCTTCAGACCACTGGCCGGAGAGGAAAAGGGCAGAAAACACAAATCTCACTCTAGAAACACATATACACACACCCCCTACTACACAGATGATGATAAAATCCCACAATCATATCTGTGTTCTGGTTTCTGGGTTTTGAACTGGAGCAGAGGTTGGAAGGGAGTAAGGACTCTCCCTTCTGCTTAACATTGACATCAGGAAAAGAAAAAGTTGCCCTTTCATCTTCACCTACTTATTTCAGAGGACACCTGAGGCAGACTGACCCACAGTGGGGCTTCATCTTCACTCCTGTACTTCTCACCCTACAACCATTCAGTGACGGGAACTGTGGAATACACTGGCTCCAGGGCTCCAGGTGGCCCCTGCCTCCCAGGAGAACCAGCCACCCCTTCTAACTGGGCAAAGGAGTTAAAGAGAGCATCACCATCACCTCCCTACTGGTTTTTGGCCTGTCTGAAGGACACAGTACCCTCGGAGCTGGCCTGGGCCCCAGCCCTACTGCTGGGCCTGCCTCCTGCGGTAGTTGCTATACGCCTCCTCGAACATGGCCTTGCAGGGGAAGCGGGCCTTTAGCTTGGAGCAGATGAGGAAGGAGCCCCCCATCTTCCTGTGCAGGGAGTAGGTCTCCTCAGGTGGGGGGACAAGACGGTGTCTCAGCATGACAGGAATCAGGTTGTGGATCTTCTCGGTGGTGCTCTGGGTGCCAAAATCAAAGGGCTCATCGGAGGCAAAGGCCTCCCCCAGGATGAGGATGGCATCCAAGTGGGCGTCTTCCATGACCTGGAGCAGGAGAGGAAGGGTAAATGGCGGTGAGACACCAGAGCCCTCCACCAGCCTGGGTTCCTCCCGTGGTGCTGGAGTGCTGAGTTCTTACTCAAAGCTCTGCTGCAAACTGGATTACATCATGGTAACAGGCATAAACTCAAACCCGCAGGGGCCGGGAACCGCAGGGTAATGTGTGAACTGGGCTGATGATGCAATACAAAAGGGAGCGGTGCGGCCTGTGGTACAATGCAGAGGATGAGCCTGCCTCACGGCCCTCATTCGGAGTTTTAAAAAAAACACTGTTCTGGCCAAAAAACAGAGTCCAGCCCCGACTCCAAGCCCTAAGTGGGCGAGAGTGAGAGGCAGAAACGAGCGTCACGACAAGTCCAGAGTCCCCAACTCACCAGCTCTCTCAGAAAATCTCACGCACAGAGCACAGCGGCATGGGCCGCGGCAGGCCCCAGCTTTCAGACAGTGCACAAGGGGGCCCAGGCTCTGGGGGCCTCTCAAGGGAAGCTGCCCCCTGTGCTGGCATCCGTTCCTACACAAGGAGCTGGGGGATCAGCAGGTCCAGGGGAGCCTCCACAGCCCTGCTCACCTTGACCTCATAGCCGGTGAGGAACTTCATCTCTATGGATTTTGCCCGCACAGTCTCCCTGTCCCTGTCGGCAGCAGCCCTGATGATCTGTGGAGAGGCACAGGAGGGGACCCGTGGGCAGCACGGAAAGAAAGCTCTGACATCCCAAGGAGCCAAGTGCCACACCCGGTCCCACCCCACCCTCTCCCTGCACAGGGCCCAGGCCAGTGCTGTGACACACCTGGCAGCTGCTGTCGCCAGACCTGAGGAACAGGCAGCACAGATAAGGAATGAGGTCAGGACCCCAGTCATTCCCCCTGCCCCGAGTCCCCCAACATCCTGTCCCAGCCTCAGAGAAACATGGGCCAAGGCCAGGCGCCTCTCCTGACCTTACCTGAATGTAGAGGTCAGTGAAGGACCTGTCATATTCCCGTGTTGCCCCAAAGTCCAAAAGAGCCACCTGGGGAAAGACACCAGGAGAAGGTGGGCCCTGGCGCTCGGTGGTGGGGCTGTGGGGCCAGGGAGGGGTGCAACAGAGGGCAGTGAAGACCCCCACTCCCAAACCTTGAGTGCTCTGCTGACTCCCAGGATAAGGGGCAGACCAGGGCCTCACGCACCCCATTCAGAGCTCTTAGGTCTGGCTGCAGGTGCCCCCACCCTGGGGCTCACCTTGTGCTGCTGGGGGTCATAGAAGAAGTTGGACCAGTTGGGGTCTGTCTGCATGAAATGGAACTCGAACAGCTCCCTCAAGCACAGAACCAGGATGTTGTAACAGATCTGGGGACAGCACGAGGGGCCTGCGTCAGTCAGGCAGCACCACACTGCCTGGTGTTCTGGGAGTCTGGGGCCAGAAAAACCTCTGCCTCCTATTTTGCCCAACCCCTCCACCCCTGGGACTGTTTGATTCCCAGTGTCACTTGGGCCAAGGAAGGCAGCAGCTGCCCTGTGTCCCCCTAAGTCCCACTGGTGCTACTTCACCGCCCCTCACCCCTAGGGAGCACCTCAGGGCTCCAAGGCCATGGCTCACACCATTAGGTCACCAAATAGCCACACAGCAGGGCCACCCCGGCCCCACCTGTCTGCTGGCACAGACGCACCTCATTCCGTATCTCCTGGCTGAGCCCTTCGGCCTGGTCCAAGGGGAAGCCGGACACCAGCTCTGTGGTCAGCACGTGTGGGCTGCAGAGCTCGTCCACGATCTCAGGCACGTAGAAGAAGGGGTGGCCCTTCAGCAGCTCCCTGGGTGGGGCGGGAGGTCATGCCCTGGCCACAGCCCCTCCACACCTCCCCGACACACATACACACCCCAGCAGGCAGAGGGCCCCTCATCCCAGGCAGGGTATGGCCTCAGCCCGGGCTGCAACCTGAGCCCTCTGCCCCCTCAGAGCCAGAGGGGCCTTCACCAGCTGCTGAATGTGGTCCCTTCTGCCTCCCTGGTGGAAACATGCAAAGGGCCCAGCCAAGGCCCACACCTGAACTTGCGGGCGCAGGCAGCCTCCCGCTGGTAGTCACACTCCAGGGCCAGCTCCCGCCTCAGCACATCGATCAGGTGCTCGGGGAACAGACCTGGGCAGGGGAGCAGGGCATCAGTGGGGAAGGGGGCTCTGCAGGGAGGCCCCACCCTGGTCCCCAGAGCCCAGTACAGATTCCTGCCACCCACTCCTGCCCTTGACCCAGCCGCCTAGCCTCAGACCTTCTGGAAGCATGTTGCTCATGTTCAGCACGGCCATGAGGTTGTTGACGTCGCTGTTGATGCTCTGGGCCACACCAGGGTACTGTGGGGTGGGGACAGGGCAGGGGAGTTAGCCCAGGGAGACAAGTGGGCCCTGCCTGGGGCACTCCCACCTCCTGCTGGCTTCCCAGCTGTGTCCTGTCCCCAGCCCACACCCTGAAGAACCAGAGCTAAGAGCCAGCAATTCTGCCATGACCCCTCGACCCTATCACAGCTTCAACCACCTTCTACTCCTGCCTCACTCCACCCCCAGGAACAGCTCAGGGCCACCCTCCCACCAGCTCCGGCCACAAAAGGCAATCACTTGTCCTCTGTCCCTGCCCATCTCAAACCAAGCTTGCTGGGGGCCCCTCGGTACCGCCAAAGTCACTCATTTAGCAAATACTTCCCAGAGGATACTACACACGGCCCTGCCAGGGGACAGGGTGCCCTTCAGGGCATGGGGTACAGAGGCTCCATGAGCCAAGCCCCAGTTCTGCCCCCAACAGGCACCGTGCACCAGTCCACCTACCTGGATCTTCATGGCCACCTCTCGACCACCCTTCATGCGGGCCAGGTGCACCTGCCCAATGGACGCGGCGGCGAAGGGCCGCTCCTCAAAGTACTCCAGCTTGTCCCGCCAGTTGGGGCCCAAGTCGTGGTTAAGAGTTTTCTGGAGGGCATGGCCAGGGAGAATCTCTGAGCACAGCCCTCCCTGGGTCACCCAGAGAAGCCCCAAGTCTGTCCCCTCCACCCAGTGGGGACTGAGGACCCAGAGGGCAGGCAGAGCCCCCGGCTCCTCACCATCATCTGTTTCAATGGCATGAAGTCCGCACTCTGCCGCACCCGCTCGAAGATCTTGGCCAGGTGGGGGTTGATGAAGGCGTCATCTGGAAAGCAAGAGAGTGTCACAGGGTGAACTTGGGGATGAAAACGCGAGGCCAGGAGGGACACCAGGCCAGCAGGACCTGGACAGGCACACTCCTGAGGTGCTCTGGCCACCACGCCCTCCCCACCAGGAGCACCGTCCTCACAGGAGCCCTCACAGGCACCCTGGGCCACTCGGCATCCACAGAGCGCCGGCCTCAGCCCAGCCACCTGAGAAGGTGGGCTTTTTACAGGCAGCATGCAGAGTTTTTCATAATTACAAAAGAAATTTGGAAAATGAAACATAGTAAAATGTTGAAATGCCCTGTGGTCTGACCGCCTCCGGAGGGCAGTTTTTCCTCTCTGCTCGTGCCAGAGCCAGCTGCCTAGAGACCACGCCTACTATGCACCAAGATCCCTCCCCAGCCCACACACATCTTGCCCACTGAGCTTTGGTGGGGCCACTGCTCCCAGCTCTGGCAGTTGACCCCGGCAGCAGCCCACACAGCCCCGGGGCAGCGGCCCCTGCACTCACTCACCCTGGATGCTCAGCATCTGGCCCAGCTTGAGCGCTGCGCCGCGCACCTTACAGAGCGTGCGTACGATGCGTTCAGCATTGGCCTCAGACAGAAAGGGACTGGAATCCAGCACAGCCTTCTTCCCTGCGGGCGGGAGGCAGGAGGGGTCACCACCGTAGTCGGGGTGGGGGGTAGGGGCTCTGGGAGTGGGATGGCAAAACCTCGGACAATGTCTTCTCTCCCGGGCATCCATATAAGCAGCAACACAACTTTACTGTTCCATGTCCACCTCCCCAAGCCTGTGTGAACTGCATACACACACATAGAGAAGGCCTCTCCCCTCCACATGGGGACCTGGCAGGCAGTGACAGGGCTGTGGTGCTGCCTGTGGCTGGAAGGTACGTGGGAAAAGGCACAATCAGCTGGAGGTGGGGGCAGGACCAAGAGGGAGGGAGGGGCCCCTAGGGTCCAAGTCTTTGCCCTGTGTGCCCCCACCCAGGGCACTGCACAAAGGTCCTCTGCACCCATGGGGTCAGCATGCATTTGTCACATGGGGCCAAGTGGCTACAGCCAGAGCCCGTCCTCAAGGGAGGGGCACTCAGGTCAAGGGCAGCACAGCCCCCTGGTGCCGGTCTCTCCCCTCCAGCCAGCTGACCAGTGATGAGCATGCAGTGACCTCAAGGGTACAGCTGGGCTTTTTCCAGTCCGGGGTGGGTGGGGGTCGCGGGGGGCGGGGAAGGCTGAGGGCCATGACTCGAGCAGCAGCAGGCCGGCTGAGTCAGCTGCCAGCAGCTGTGTGGCCCAGGGTAGCTGGGTCTCCTCTGGCTTCCGCCCCCTCCTGGGCCATCAGCTCAGCACTGCCTAAACATGGGGGTGCCCCTGTCCGGAGGCACAGAGAGGCCTGAGCAGGAATCTGGGGGTCTGGGTCCTTCTGCCTTCCCTGAGCTTCTCTGGTCGGGCCTCTAGCCCTTGTGACATTCAGAGCTTCTCCTGCCCTCTGTCCAGTGAATCTAGTTAGATCTGAAGCCCCAGGAGGCTGCAGTGCAGCTTCCTCCTCTCTGGCTCCCATAGCACCCGGCACTTGCCTCAGCTCAAATCAATTCCGGCCTGGCACAGTGCTGAGGTGGCACAGAGCCGGGACCTCAGCAGGGGAAGAGAGGTAACCGTGCCACTGCCCCCTGCCCCGGAGCTGAGTGCAGCCTGGCCCCTGAGGAACCACGGTGGGGTGGGCCACCCTAAGAATGGAACAGGAGCCTCAGAGAAGAACCACATCTGCCCACAAGTGCAGACAGCCGCATGGAAAGGGGCCGGGCTCACTCTGGGGTCCCAGACAGCAGGAAGGGCCCTGGGAAGGTGGGAGATGTTAGTTCCGTGGGAAGAGGCTGAGCTGCCCTAGGAGGCGGAGCTATGACCCATGGGCAGAGGGAAAGGCAGTCCAGTGCAGAAGGAAAGGCAGTCAATGTCCCCTCTGGCCCCTAGCCCTGGGGCACTTGTGGGCTGGAGGCCTGGGCCTCAGTCCCTGGGGAGGGGCAAGCAGAGAGGGAAGCCGTGGGCAGAGGCCACTGCCAGGCCAGAGGAGGGAAGAGTCTCTCTCTTCATGACACACAGAGCAGTCCTGGTGTGGCAGCAACACTCCTGAGATATGGGGACGGTGCCTGGTCCAATCTGGGCTTTCCCAGATAGCCCGTCAGCAAAGCTGGCCATTCCCACAGGCTGGAGGCATGTCCCCTGCCCAGGCAGGGCTGGCTATGAGGATGAGCCAGCATGGCCCGGGCTACAGTGGCGTGGCCCCCAGCTCAGAAAAGGCCCTTCCAGGGCAGAGCTCAGCCGAGGTGGCTGGTCTCCTCCAGGCCAGAGGGTGCCAGGGCTTGGGCAGGAAGCTGGAGGACAGTTTGGGGCTGTCCAGGGCCATCCCACTACAGCCTAAGCCTCAGGCCCCACTCTCAGAGCTAATGACACCCAGGCCCCTTAACCCCCAGCCTGGGGCCACCACTGTCCCCGAAAAAGGACACCAACTGTAGGTGTGGAGCCAGCCTGGCCTCTTCCCTGCTTGGACAAGGTAGTCGGAGAGCAGCCAGCGTTGGAGGGAACAGTACTGGACAGTAGGGGAAGACTGACTTTTCCTTCCAGAGAAACGCAGGCCTTATTTCCCACAGGGTTTCAGCACCAACACTAAAAATACCCTTGCTAAGCCCTCTGTCCTTAGCCCCTTCCAAGGACATGCATGCCGCCCGTGTCCCCAGGACTCAGTTGGGGCCTATGAGATAGACTGGTGCCCTCGCCCCGGAACGGAGTGTTGGTGAGTGGAAGGGGGCTGTCCAGGGGGCGGGCAGGGCCTCCAAGGGAGGCTGGCACAGGCTGGCAGGCAGGGCTGTGAGGGCTGCAATGTGGCCAGACACTGGGTGTCACTGGGGGTCGCCATGGACGTGGGTGGAAGGGCAAGATACCAGAATGAGCTGACATTCCCTGAATGGGCTGGGGCCAGGGGACTCGGCCCAGAGCTCCAAGTGTATTTAGGGAAATCCACCAAGCAGACAGCTCCCTCGGCACTGCTCTCCACACCCCAGGCCCCGCTAACCGGAAAGCCCCTGCTGGGTTGACCTGGCAACTACCTGGCCCTCGCCCATGCCTGAGGAGGCCTGAGGACACACCCAGCCTGGTGCTCACAGGCAGAGGTGACAAGAACTCAGTGTCCCCCACTCCTCGTCACAGTGGCATGAACACCCAAAGCCTCAGTGTGGCCCGTCTGCAGAACCTCTCCACAGAGGGCCCAGCCACAGCAGGCCACCAGCCTCAGTGGGATGAGTGTCCTGACCTGCCTGCCTGCCTGACCCTGGCTGTGACCTTCACCTCAGGGGTGAAGAGGTGCCTCTGCAGAGGCTGCAGCCTCCCCAGGTTACTGAGCTGGTGAGGAGGAGACTTCAAGGTCTGCCCTGGGAATACACACCTCCCCGCCCCAGCCACGCCTGACCCGGCCAGACCAGCAGGCCACGGGGGCTCACAGAGAGTAGGGCAGCAGCAAAAAGTGGGTGTGCAAGTGTGTGTGCAACAAGGGTGTGCAGGTTGCAGAGGGTGTGTAAGGAGGTATATGGGTGTGTGGAGGGTGTGTAGATGTGTAAGGTGTGCAGTACATGTGAGGGTGGGTATGTAAGAGTGTGCATGTGAGAGGGGGTGTGAGGAGTGTGCAGGTGTGTGGAGGAGGGTGAGAGGTGAGCAGAGTGTGTAAGGTGCAGGTGTGCAGTGCATGTGCAGGTGGGTGTGTCGGGCTGTGCATGTGTGCAGAGGGGTGTGCAGGTATGCAGAGGAAGTGTGCAGGTGTGTGGGAATGCAGGCAGCCAAAAGGAAGGGTCTGGGTGGCCACTTGGGGCTGGGAGGAGGAGGGGCCTCCAGCCTCACCCCTCTAAAGCAAGTCAATCCGTCCCTATGAACAGTCTCACCACCCCACAGGGACCGCTCACATGGAGCACCATACGAAGGTGGCCCAACTGGCTGACACTCCCAGAGCACAGGTGTGGCTGGGGGCAGACAGGCTGAACCCTCCCAGGGCTCACCCTGCCCCTCCCACTGAAGGGCCCAGCTCACCTGAGGGGTCCTCGGAGCGCAGGCTCTTCTTGGCGACTTCTGCCAGTGCCCCGAAACCCAGACCCACGGCCAGACCTGCAAGGGGGAGGTGGCGGGCACTCAGTGCTCACACAGGACTGGGCCACTCGCCCGCCCACCCACAGGGCCAGGGCAGCCCCACACAGACACCACTTGCCCCAGAGGCCCTCGGTCACAATGCCACGTCAGCATTTTGAAAAGTGGGGAACAAGGTGGGAGATGCACACCCGTTGTCTGAAGAGAACACTCGGCTCTAGAGAGGCGTTTCCAGATTCATGCGCCCCCACCCCACAACATCACCTTTGATAATCCACAGACTCGGGCACACGGACACCCCAAAGTAACATCAGCTGGGAAGCACTTGGGAAGGACCCAGCAAAAATGGGAAGACAGACGGGGGATGGCCCACAGCCAAGGCCATCCTGACCACACAGGGAGCCCCCAGAACCAACCACCCCCTTCAGGTCTGCCTGCAGAGCCTCCGCTCACCTAGACTTCCCAAATTCACTGGAACAGGAAAGGTGCTGCCACAGGCAGACAAACCACTTGGCAGTGAGAGTGAAAACATCTCAGGTTATCTCCCTAACCCAAGCCCAGGGAAACTGGCGGGGCTCAGGCCGAGCCCTCAATGGGGACTAGAAGGCCCTCTCACCCATCCTGCCCTTTCTGTGGGGCTGGCAGGCACTGATATCTGACGACCGCGGCGTGCCAGGCCTTCCCCTTCTCCTCCTTCAGTCTTCCAAATCAAAGCCCACCAACACCTCATTTGTCCAAAAATCAATCACTGAATGATCCCAGCTGTTCAAGAAAGCCACCCCGATCTACCGACCCCTGCCCAGGAGCCCAGCAGGTCCCCTAATGCCCACACCTCACACAGGGCCAGTATTCTCTTCCTTTATACCCAGCTCTAGCTGGCTTTCCAGGGCAGGCATGGGTAAGTGGACAGAGGGTGAAGAGCACCTGGCTGAGCACTGTGACCACACAACATGGCAGCCCCGCACCCACGCAACATCGCAGCCCTGCAGCCCGGCAGCCCCAAACCCCCGCAGCGCAGCACCCAGGCAATATCGCAGCCAGGGGCTGTCGCGGGGGAGTGGGCTCCCACCAGGGCACTCTCTTTAAGGGGAAAGGAAACTGGCATCTGCTTCCATGTTTCCAAATTCTCTACAGTGATTGTGGGTGACTTTTATGAAAAATACAGAACTTGCTGAAAATTTAATGAAAAGTAAATTTTAAAAATAAAAAGATAATTTTTTAAAAAAAAATGTTTTTGCAATACATCTCACCCACCCCTGGGTAACACCGCACCCTCCAGGTCCCCAGCTGTCCGGACAGTCCCTGCCTGTGAGTGCTGAACACAAGCACGAACGCGGCGCTCAAGGGGCCGGGCACACACAAAGGCCACATGAGCATCTGCTGCTGTTCTCGTGACTATTCAAAAAGGCTGGACCAGTGCAGACCAAAAGAAATAGAAGGCAAGCCACACGTCATTGGAACTTTCCTAGTAGCCACATTGAAATAGGCAAGAAGAAATATGCAAAATAAATTCTAATAGCATAATTTACTTAATATAATCCAAAATGTATCATTTCAACAAGTAATCAAAATAAATATTAGTGAGATTTTACACTTGTGCCTGTGCATGAAGCCTCCAAATGCCACGTATGTGTTACACTCAGCACATCCCCCGCTGTGGACCAGCTGCCCTTCCAAGGCCCCATGTGGCTGGCGGCTCTGTACCGGGCAGCGTGGGGCAGGATAAGCCGAGCCTCCTGGCCCTCAGGGGTAACGACACACACATGGTACAGGTGTCTGCTGTGCTGGGACAGGGGCACCAGTGTGTCTGTGACTGACCGGTACATCAGCTGTTTCTCTCACTGTGGAAAGCGCTGGGCTCAGAGCTGGGAGCCACAGTCCCTGCTTAAACATGAACTCCCTGACACCTCCCACCTCTGCCCTGCCAGCACTGGAGCACACGATCTGACCTACCAAAATAACGAAGGCAGGCAGCGTTAGCCTGTGCACTGCAGTGACCTTCACCAATGTCTCTGCGTCTAGATTCTCCTCTGCTTGGAGCAAGTCCAGAGACAAGCCCACAAGAGAGGCAGGTGGCTCCACAGGTTACCAGAGATGCCACAGCTGCAGGGTGGGCCACACTGAGCCCCTCCTGCTGCAGGCACAGGTGTGTCCCCACCACCCTCTGTCAGGACACCCCTCAAACTGTTCTCTGGCCACTTTTGGGCTCACAGCTTTCCACTGGCAAGGGCTTGTTACTAAACAAGTGACCAAAAGAACATTCCAGAGAGGAGGCCTCAGGCCCCACACGTACCTCAGGACCAGCCGGTGCCAGGCTGAGGCGCTGCCCACCGACGGACAGACGGGCTCCATCGGCAGGCTCCCCAGGTGGCAGAAACCAGCCCAGCTGGCCAGCACCCCTGACCTTGGCCTCACAGGCTTCTGCACCGGTGAACCCAGAATAAACTGATGCCCTCCTGCCCTGGGCTCATTACAATGCTCAGGACCCCAGGCCAGGCTCTGCCCTCAGCCAGAACCAGCCAGCATGAGGCAACTCCAGAAGACGAGCACCTCAGTCAAGATTCTCCGGGTCCTTATGGGACCCCACTTGGCACCCCCACAGCCCTTGGGACACCTCACACCTCTCCCTGCTTGGATTCACATTCTAAGAGGCCCCCCGGCTTGGCCTACATGGCCAGAAAGGGAGTCCTGGAGGAAAAGTGGCCCAGCGCAAGCTCCTAAAGAGGCCCTAAAGCCTCTGTCAGCAGCCTGGCTTCCCTCCTGGCCCGTTCCGGGAGAGCTTCCGAGTGCTTCTCACAGAGAGAAGTTGCGCAGTGAAGGAATGACAGGGGAGGGAGCAGCAGCTTCTCCCCCAGGCAGGAGCACAGGCTTCTGGCCAGTCTCATGTGACTTCTGGAGCCCAACCCCTACGTGGCCCCATCCTCCCAAAAGTCCCTCTGGGAGGTCATCAGAGCCAAACAGGGCCCTCCCTTGAGCAGTCACTCTGCTTCTGCCCAGGTGGACACCAGGAGGTTAAAAAAAGCAAAACATCAAACACCTTCCAACAAACAGGGCCCTTCCTAGCAGGCTGGGTGAAAAGCGCTTATGGGCAGGGATGAGTAAGTCAGTGTTCCTCAGGGCATTGGCTTTTCCTGCCAGAAACTCAGGCATGTTTACAGAGCAGGGCTTCGGAGAGTTTCTCCACCAGCAAGGGGTAAAGATACAGCTAAAGATAAATAGCAGCAAATACAAACCAGGTGCTAAGCCCAGGTTTTATTAAGGCATCCAACAAGCCTCATCTGACAGACAAGTCCGTGCAGAAAATGCAGCAGCACAGCTTCCCTTTGCTTCAAGGTCTTCCTGACTCCCCAGTGATTCAGTCTTTCTCTATCCTCCAGCTGCCCCCAGCCCCAGGAGAGGACAGGGGCACTGCACAGGAAGAAGGGGCACCAGAAGGGGAGAGGAGTTCCCTGTGGCTGTTCTCACAGCTTCTCAGGATCTGGCCCTCTGTTCCCAGAACTGGACTGGTGGGGGAAGGGAAGCCCTATCACAGCCCCTCTGGGGCCTAATTACAGAGCCTGGCCAGGCTCAGACTTCCGCGTGCACCACTGAGGTCTCGGCTCTAGTCCCAGGGATGTCACAAATAAGCATATGGCCCTGGGTGACCGCCTACTTCTTGGCTCAGCTTCCTCATCTATAACAGGAGAGAATAAGAACCACCCTCATCCCCAACTCAGAGCTCCTGAAATACACAGAAAGCCCCTTTTCAAGAATGCTCCTGGAAGGCAGCTATGCTCCCGAACTCCTGCCAAGGGTGCAAACTCTTGGATCTAGAACGCATCTATCTTGCTGCAAAGTGCAGAAGAGCGCTGGCACTGCAGGAAGCATGGCATGTGCCCTCAGCAAATTAGGCTGGCGTCAATGCACGCCACTCGTCGCTGGCCTTGCATGCAGCCCTGTCAACAAAGGGGCATCATGCCATCGGGCTGAACCCTTTGGCTTTGTGTGCTGCCCCAGGGGGTCCTGAGGTCCCAGCCAAAGGGTCCAACAGCATCACCGCTGTGGGATGGCTCTCAAGGCCATGACAAGCCACAGCCAGGTCTCAAATAGTGTCCAGAAACCAAGTGACATCATGAGTCTTTCACAAAACTAAGTCATTCCATTTATTTTCCTCTATCTTGAAGCACGTCCTTTATAGTTTTGCACTGTTAAAATGTCCTTTTGAAAAGTTAAAGTGATAGTATAGTTGGTGGTGGTGTTTGTTTTAAATGTCCTTACATGCAAAATTTTAAAAATAACCACCCTAAGGCTGTTCACCCAATGTTCATTTTAAATGTTACCACTGAAACGAGGGACACAAAAGTTTGGGGGGATGGGGCACAATGGTCCAGGAGAGAGCTTTGCTGCTGGTGTATTAACAGTATCCTGAGCGTATTGGGATCTTTGGGAAATTAAGCAGCAAGAGCCATCAGCTTTGCCTTTCAACCTAAGCAATGCCTGTTTTCTAACATAAGAGAGTTACCTTACCTCTTAGAAAACCCAATGGAGTCTCATAAACTATATTTAAAAGCAAAGCATTTTTCTGGGAGTAGGAGACCCTTAATCTCTTACCTTTTAAAAATAATAGGATACCCATGGGTCCACTCCCTCTACTCTGCATTCCCAGCCCACTGACTTACTTTTTCTCATACAAGTATCTCCTTGTTTTCTCAGGTCAAATTTCAAAATCCTTCCTACACAGAATCAAACAGGAAGCACAGAAATTGCTTCCGATTTCTCACTTTTTGTTTTCTGTCTTCCTCTCTTCCATTCTGCCTTAATGCTGTCACTTGTAAGCCCCTGTGTGAAGGCCTCAGAACCAGCACAAAGCTGTACACAAAGCAGCGCTCAACTCCCTGTGGCAAGTCTTCTCTAGTGCCTACTCTACGCCCATCAAAGTCTCATTTCTGTGAGTGTCTAGTTCTCACTGTATAGTTACAGAGGAGGTAAGTCATCTTCTCTGAACCTGCAAGACTAAAGCATGAATGGAAAATGGGATAGAG